TCTTCACACTAGCATTGACCTGCTCAATCCCAGAATGCGTCGCCTTAAGTCCATGCAACAACTTCTGAAACGTCGGCGACAATCTATTATACGCCTCAACAGTATTCGCAAAGAGTGTATCACCGCCAGTATCAGGGTTATCAAGGACATAAAGAAACGTCGTCCCGGGCGGCTGCTGCTCATACGTAATATCCGAATGCCACGCCACAGAGCTCACACGCGTCTTGAAGAACTCCTCGTACGACTTATCACCCGCACTTCTATGCACGAGATGGATCTCGGGATGGCCTTCTGGCGAGCCTGAAGTAGGGTGGATGTGATGACGGCCGAAGTAACCGCCGAACTTGAGGGCTTCAGAAATGGGGAGGTCGGCGAAGTCTTGGTTGCGGAAGGCGACGACTTTGCGCTCTGCGACGTAGCGGGCTAGTTCGTCTTTGCCGGCGTCGGAGAGACTGCTCAGTTGGGCACCCTCGATCTCAGTGCCGATTGTGGGGGTGAGATGGGAGATCTTTGTGGTGGGCTTGAGAAGGTTGGGGAATGTTGGGTCTGCGTCTTTGCCGTGTTCGTAGTGCTCGAAGGGCTCGAGGGGAGGGTAGACTTGGTCTTTGTTCCATGTTGGGAGATAGTTTGGGTACTGAGATGTTCGTGTTAGTGTATGGTTGATATGTGAGTGACGAAGCGATATACCTTTGCGGCAGCGTGGCCGTCGATGCCCTTCTCTTCGGCTTCGCGACGGTAGGCGACGGGGGATAACTCTTTGTAAACGCCCTCGACGTGGCCGGGGTAGAGCTTTACTTTCTGAGCATCGACTGTAGGAGCCTGAGTCTCAACAGCTGAGGGAGCCATCTTGAAGAGTTACTATCAAATATTGTATAAGTCTTTGATACGGGATTAACGTCAAATGTGCAGTTCACCTGGAACTCTACGACCTTTATATACCACTCCCTCCTCATCTGACAAATCCCATTCCCATCACACTCTCAATGAGGGGAAGTATGCATCCGCAATACAGAACTCGCAATGACGAGCAGTAAGTGTCAACCATTGTCATCATCCAAAGACATCGCGCAAGCATCGCATCTATTGCGTTGATCAACGAGACACGAATCAAATCACGCAAAGGCCGAGAGGGACGAAGAGTGTAACATTGCAATGTAGAGTAACTTGGCGATCCGTGAGTATTTATCACGGCGTTATAGCATGGTATTGCGCAATGTCGGATCTCGTGGTTGAGGCCTCGAGGGTGGTGGTGAGTTGGCGCAATTCCTGGGGATGGGTCACGCAATATGCCTATCAATCGGGGTTATCGAGAGGGAGAGTCGACGTCTCGGATATCGGCAATAACTCTTTAGAATTACGAGACATCTATAGAATGAGTTTTGTTGGTATTGTAAGTCTTTGTGGCTCAAAATTTGAGAGTTGCAATTGTCTCAAATATCTCTATCGTCGGGAAATGGCTATATAATAGTTGACCCCAGCAACTCGACTTCAGCCATCGTCCAAATGCCCCGTAACACTTCCAACTGCCGAACAACGCCAAGTCCGAAGATTTCTCCATAAGAAGCGTAAATATTCCCATTTCACGGCGTCTCGGTCGGACCTCTCAGCGATTGGTCCTTATCGCGAGCACGTCATGCCTCTATTCTCATGAGATAGGACAAACCTCCGAACTCGACCATGGCTAGTTCCAGAGCACCCCATCTCTCGTACCAATTGTAAGCTTAAATCTCTTGACTTATCGAGAGGTTTTTATTGGCTCTTTGACCGTGGCTAATGGTCTAGATCGAACCCCCAGGTTTAAGAGAAGCTGTTGTAGCTTGATCGCTTGTCCATGTTGGTTCAGCATCCCAGCGTCGTAGTTGACCTGGAGGCGTCGGTTAACCCTGAATCGGCTGGTCATGCCCAGAAAACACTCGTTCGCCGAGCCCTGAGGTGATTTGCGTAGTCCATCGCGACATTGATAACCCCCGTGTCTTCTCGTAGAGGCATCCCAAGCAGCATGGGGGCGAATACTGTAAATTTTTAGATCAATACCTTAAAAATTTAGTCTCGGTAGGGAAACTGCCAGCCTTTATAAGTCCAGCCCTGCACCACACATCATATCATGTTCGACATCTCCGCGGCCTTCACTCTTATTCTCTTTCTCCGAGGACTTACTTGCTCTCAGTTGCTACTAGTTCCTTCAGCTGTTACTAGTGTTCCTCGCTAAGATCCAAAATGGCTGCCGTTGGAGACTCCAAAGGGGTCATCGGTAAGACTGACTCTGAGGACCGTCGCTTTGACAGCGGCGATGAGACTGCCAATTCGTCACTTGAGCATCCCTTCTCGGATCCAGAGGTTGCGGATCGTTGGAGGAAGGTGTACGAGAACGCTCAATACGAGAATCGACATCGGTTTGATCCGAGTTTCACTTGGACTGCTCAGGAGGAGAAGAAGCTGGTTAGAAAGGTACTTTGCTCTGCAAGAGGACTTATACTGAAGCCACTATATGGCCTTCTGGAAGTCATTTGACTAACATGCACTTGTCTCTAGATCGACTTCCGCATCTGTCTCTGGGCATGGGTCATGTTCCTGTCCCTAGACTTTCACCGACGAAACATCAACCGTGCTATTTCCGACAACATGGTAAGTTAATTCTCCGATGCATCTGGGGTGAAAACTTGACTAATAGCTTCTTTTAGTTGCCCGAAGTAGGCATGAACACTAACGATTTCAACTATGGCCAAACTGTAGGTCCACCCCTGCTCAGCTCGGTACTTCAACTGACCATTTAGATCTTTCTCGTATCCTTCCTCTCAGCTGAGCTTCCCAGTGGCTTGATTAGCAAGAAACTCGGTGCTGATAGATGGATCCCGTTCCTCATCTGCAGTTGGTCACTTGTTGCGGGATCTCAAGCTGCGCTGCACAGTAGGGGTGCCTACTTTGCTATCAAGGCACTCTTGGGTCTTTTGATGGGTGGATTCATTCCGTAAGTCATTCACATCCTGAAATGAGAATAAAGACTGACAGAAACAGTGATATTGTCCTTTGGCTCACTTACTTCTACAAGTCCAATGAGCTGCCAATCAGACTGGCTTTCTTCTGGACTGCCCTGAGCACCAGTAACATTCTGGGATCTCTTCTCGCAGCTGGTATCCTTCAGATGCGTGGTGTTTTGGGCTGGGGAGGTTGGCGATGGCTGTAAGTACTAAGACTTGTCAACTTTAGAATCTCAAGCTTACATAGCTCTAGATTCCTCCTTGAAGCTATTGGCACTTTTATCATCGGTCTCTTCTCTTGGGTTCTCATGCCTCCTGGTCCCTGCCAGACAAAGAGTTGGTTCCGTGGCAAGAATGGTTGGTTCAATGAACGTGAAGAGTACATCATGGTGAACCGACTTCTTCGCGATGACCCTAGCAAGGGTGATATGAACAACAGGTACGCTACCTCCGAGGTATCGACTATGCTCATGAACTAACAAAATCAATAGAGAGGCTGTGAATCTCCCGAAGCTCTGGAAAGCCGTCAAGGACTGGGAGCAGTGGCCGCTCTACATCATCGGTCTCATGGTGTATATCCCTCCCGCTCCCTTCAACACCTATCTCTCTTTCATTCTGCGCCAAATCGGCTTCTCCGTCTTTGAAGCCAACCTCCTCGCTATTCCATCTCAGTTCCTCTATGCTGTCAACCTACTTATCATCACCTGGCTCTCCGAGCGCGTGCAGGAGCGAGGCATGCTGTCATCCCTCTCAAACATTTGGATCTTCCCATGGGTTCTCGCCCTCGTCGTTCTTCCTGGCGACATATCCCCCTGGGTTCGATACGCTCTCATCACAGGTCTTTTGAGTTACCCCTACTGCCATGCTATTCTCGTCGGTTGGAACGCCAAGAACAGTAATAGTGTACGTACGAGAGCTATTAGTGCTGCTTTGTACAATATGTTCGTGCAGACTGGTAACATTGCTGCATCCAACATCTTCCGTGAAGACGACCAGCCTCTGTACAGGCGAGGCAACAGGGTCATCCTTGGCATCACGTCTGCCAACATTGTCTTGTTTTATATCGTCAAGGCGTTCTATATCTGGAGGAACAAAGTCCGCGATGCGAGATGGAATGCTTTGACAAAGGAGCAGCAGCAGGACTACATTCTGAACACAACGGATGAGGGCCAGCAGCGTTTGGACTTTAGATTTGCTCACTAGACAATGCATTGTTTTTGTGGTGTCTTGGAGTAGATTCCAAGAAGAGGTATCTCTGATTGAAGCTCAATAGATTGATCACAACTACTGGAGTACATCCAATCCTCACGTTCTGTTCTCTTCTCTTCTAAATCTTAGCCTGTCTGATCCTAAGCTTAGGGTAAATTATGCCTAAGCTTAGAAAACATGGATAAATCTTAGGACACTATGATCATAAGGTATGCCTAAACTTAGGCTAGCTTAGATCTCGAGCCATAGCCCACTCATTGATTACTTTTTGCCGTGGTCGGTAACGTTGCCTGCTGTAGCAGGCATGGCGGGTTATGAATATCGCATGCTTCCTTTACTGAAATGCCAGCACTAAAGTGCCCTTGCGCCTGGGTAAAGCACGCTTTCCGTGATATATTTGTAGAGTGCGACTCGAGTGTGATATGTTGTGGGTTGATGCATCGTCTCCAATTGCACAGGTGTGAGACCTCAGTCTCGCATGTAAGGAGGCGTTGCAGGTCGTTTCTGGTATGGTGGACCAGGATGTAGAACGCTTTACGCTGCGCACGAGGCGCAGTATCCCGAAAAATTGAGAAGTTGATTTCGTACATGGAAAACAAAGCCCAGGTCTGTCTTTTGTCGGCATGTAACATTATCTGCATAAGTTGGGTCAGGTTAGCCGATGGAAATACCTGGGATAACCTAGAGAAGCAATTCCCATTTTCAAAAACTGGTTGGATTCGTCTTAGGTATGACTGTTGAGTTGTACTGAATTTATGAAGGAACTGAGCATATGCTCGGTCCACCTTTCGGTGGAATTCTGCAGGTGAATTATTATAGAATTCCTGAAGCAACCGGCAAAGCTGGTTTCTTGTGCGCATTGTTCCAAACTGGACGGCAGGAATAGGTCGTGTTCGGTAGGGGAATAGCGGGAGGGCCATTGGGAAGAGGAAGCGTGTTGGAAAGAGGAAGTGTGCTGGGCAGAGGATCACCTTCGAGTTCAACTGGATCTAAACCGTCAGTGAAATGGGCTTGAGGTTGCTGATATCAATGGTCATACCTTGCTCATCGTCGTCGATGATAATGGGATTGAACCACATGCCCCTCGTCATCTTGTCTGCCATCTCGATGATGGATGATGATGGAGGGGAAAAGAAAGAAAACATTATAATATGACTGGGAAAGTCTGTTCTTTGGGGATCTACCTTAGTACTAAGCCTGTAGTCAAGTCTCCTTCTACTCATCCTTCGGAAACCTGAGGGGCCTGATCAATTGCATCATAATCCTCCCATCTGAGAGTGCGAGCCTCCTCTGCAGAAATAATCTGCGCCCATTTATGCCTATTGGTCGTAGTAAGCCGCTTCCATGACTGACCCAAATGGATCAGCTTGTCTTCGATGGCATGAACTGAGAGGAAGCCCTCTGGGAGTGTCAGGGCTCGCTTATACAGAGGTGAGTCTAGCGAATGTTCTCCAACCCTGTGGTATCATAAACTTTGCCGTGTCTTGTGCAAGTATACGGGCGTCATCCATGTTATTGAAGATGGACATATTGCTGATGGAGGTCAAGTAGAACGCCATAGCAGTTGAGTTAGGATAAGGGATGAAAAGCGGCAGGTCGATGGATCTAATAAGAGATTTGCTAATGCCTGCCATGCGGGCAGCTTCCGAAACGGGCAGAGACTCCGACACTCTGTTTCGAAGAATCGAGGTCGATCGGAATAGGTTTATCGTTGAACTTCTTGGAAGTGCTAGAGGCGCTTCCGCTGCGGCCAGCGTGTGCAGCTCGAAGAACGGAGTCGATTGAGCTAGGCGCCAGTTCCGGGGATTGCTCGCCTATGATCATGTCTAGACCTGTAGTCAGTCCTTTAGTCCCACCCATCGCAGGCAAAGGTCGTGGGGTGGTCGGAATGCCGTCTCGGGTTCGATCGGCGGGTTCTTCGAATTGTGCCAGATCTTCATCTGATTCCAGATCGACTAACTGAGTAGCCCTTCGCTTGCGGGCAGTCAGAAACACGGTCAGGTCGATTGGAATCGGGGTGTCGTCAAATCTGGGTGTGCCTCTGACACTTCCGCTGCCACCAGAGTTTGCAGCCCGAATAACAGAATCGATCAAGTTGGCTGCCGAGTCTAGATCTTCCTCAGCTACGAGTATGTTGAGGTTGAATATATCATATGGATGTGAGAGGGCATTCTCTGCAGCGCCAATCGCATCCAGGGCACCTTGCCTGTACATTTCCTTTATAGTCCGCAATTGCGTCCTCGGCGGGAGCAAACTGACCACTTGAGTTCCGTGGGGTGCGTCTTGGGAGCACCATGGTTTCTGGGCTAGCTTCAGACCTTGGGGATGGTGGCTCAGATGTATTGGACGTCGCTTGACGGAAATGCTAGGGGGCATGGAGGTAAATGAGGCCTGAATCAGCTTGAGATTGTCGCGACGAACCGCCTGGCGGTGGGGTTGAATAGTATATGCCCGGCGAAGGCGTTCGACGTGCCACCGCATGGATTACAGCCGTCTCGAATAGCTTGTTCCCTGTATGATTGATGAAGTTCGGGGTACCGTGCTAGCCACCTATAGTATCTGTGAACCTTATGGCTATTTATCAGTTGATCCTCCCGGCCATATAGTTGTAAGGCGCGGAGATAGCCCTCATATGATATAGTTCCGCCCGGCTTTGATAGTGGCTCTGAGAATAGACGGCGGTATTCGATATCTTTACTTTGGTGGCTATTCGAGCACGGGATGAATCTTATGCTTGACATTGATGAAGAGGAGTGATGATGCAACGCTTGTTGCAGAAATATGAATGACGAGTACTAACATCGGAGAATGACACGGCACAAGGAAGGACACGAGAACGAGCTCGCGTATAAGTGCGAGAATATTTATTTGTGAGAGGGAGGTGACGATTGAATGCAGCCTTAATGTAAAAGATGCTCTTGAAGGAGCGTAGTGAGACTTTTGACGGGATGGTTTTGAGGTTGAAGAGAGGAGTGAGGTTCGAAGAGGGCGAGGAGATATTCCTGCAGTTGATGAAGCACTTCCTGCACCATGCAGGAAATAAATGGGTCAAGTCAATGTGAGTTGCTCGGTCGTTGTGGAAACAACGAGACAAACCCGCTGTGATTGAAGTCTCGAGTTGTTTGGTTATGGTAGGGTTAGTTGCGTGTCAGTGACAGATGAGCTGCCACTGCACGACAGTGCCAAGCTCAAATAGCCAACCAGACCGAAATCGGGTGACAAACCTCACCAGATCTCTTTAATTAGATATCAGAGGTTTGTCTGTGCGGAGGCTTTATGCTGGAGTAAAGATCTAATAGTATTAAAGAGAGTCTAAGAATATATCTAACAGTAGACCCGCACCACCTTGGATACCAAAACACTCCATTACATCAAGTCCAAACTCATTCCAAACATAAAACATTAAACATTTCTCTCGTTGAGAATCGTAAGTCGTTCATAAGAACAGTTATGTGCGTCGTGCCATCGTGTACTGTCCCAGTTCCAACACCCCTTTCATCACCTTGTCAATCTGAGTTTTGAGCTTAGAAGAGAGAGCCGATGAACTCCTTGGCACGCTTGTAAGCGCCATAGGAGCCGTACTTCTTGTAGTTGTAAGATCCTGCGAGTGTCAGTTGAGTGTTGTTGCAAGGTAAAGGGAGTTGACTCACCATAGTTGGTATACTTCTTGGGGTATGAGCCGTACTTGGAGTAAGTCTCGGGCTCAGCTTCAGCCTCAGGAGCAGCCTCAGGCTCGGCTTCGCGCTTGTAAGATCCGTAAGATGAGTACTTCTTGTAGTTGTAGCTTCCTGGGGTCTAGTCAGTATGAGCATCTTCGGGGTAAAGGACATAGCTCACCGTAATTTGTGTACTTCTTAGGAGCAGGCTTGGGCTTGGGCTTAGGCTTAGGCTTTGCGCCGTAGCTTCCATAGCTTGGGTAAGATGGGAGGTTTTCACCGGCGCCCTTGTAATCTCCATAGGTAGTATATCCAGGAGCGGCTTCAGCTTCAGGGGCAGCTTCGGGGGCAGCTTCAGGAGCAGCCTCAGGCTCAGCCTCACGCTTGTAAGAGCCGTAGGAGCCGTATTTCTTATAGTTGTAGCTTCCTGGAAGAGTGTCAGTGTGTAAACTGAAGCTTGCTTGAGGACTACTCACCATAGTTGGTATATTTCTTAGGAGCGGGAGCAGGTTTAGGCTTGGGCTTGGGCTTTGCACCATAGCTTCCGTAGCTAGGATAAGAGGGAAGGTTTTCACCTGCTCCCTTGTAATCTCCATAGGTGGTATATCCTGGTGCAGCTTCAGCTTCGGGGGCAGCTTCAGCAACCGGGGCTGCCAAGGCACCCGCAGCGAGAGTGAGAAGTGTAACAGCGGTGAACTTCATTTTGATGTCTGAAGAAGGACAGAAAGATGGTAGAGTGAAGGAGCAGAGAAGAGGGTGGGTGCTGGGTAGTTAAGGCTGAAGAGAAGGGTGAGAAGGGTGGTGAGGAAACACTGCAGCTCAGGATGGGAGCTCCTACTTTATGGACAAGGATGGACGCCTCTTGGATGTACAGAAAAGTATCCCATGATCATCTTGATCAAGAAACCTTAGCTTGCAGAAGCACACTGGAGGCTCTCAACTCCGAAAGTCTACTTCCCAGATCCAGACTCGGTATGCCAAGCGAAAGTCGACGATGGCGTCGGATCCTACGGCATCAGACAACTCATCCGCCTGCTGAGACTAACACATGCGAAGTCTAAGCTAGAGAGGCAAGACCTCGTATCAGTCTCACAGCTAACTCAAGCTTACAAGTGGAGGGGATCACCATCCGGACGAGGCTCTCCATTGGACCACGCCAAGGCTGAGCACTCATGACTTCCCTCTCACGGTAACGATCGCGCAGTTTCCGAGAAGCTTTGCATCATTGAAGTCCTACCTTAGCTTAGCAATCGTGATGCCTCGTTAGCTTGACCGATATTCAGCGTGGCTGGCTGCAGAGATACCCGGGAAAGCTACTCTCGTGTAAGCCTCGTGGAGCTCTAGAACGAAGCTTGCAGCCAGCAGAATTTCCCTATCTGGGCGAAAGCAGCCACGATCTGGGCAACTAGCACGATGATCAAGGTGTGTTAGTGAGCGGAGCTAATGCACGTTGGATAAGAGTCTAGAGACGGGCATTGTAAGTCTCCAAGACATTCTGCACTGTAAATAGCACAAGAAAGTTTATATGTCGTGTCAGACGTGCATAAGATCCCTCTTCGGGTGGCCCTTTTGGGATTGATGATGTAGTTGATGGACGGAAATGTCTTGGATTGATCTAAACCCTTGCTATACGATATGATCTACCCGTCCCAATTGCTAATCATGGGGTTCGATGTCGTCAATTAAAAAAAAAAAAAAGAAGAACTTCGGCAGTACGGACTAGAAGCGATGTACTTCGTATTGCCAAACCACCAAGACAAACGTTCTGCCCAACCCCCCGCAAGCCTCGTTCCCATCACGTCTTAGTAGCTAGCGATTACAACCTTAACTACCAAAGCCATCTTTTTTAAAAAGAAAAAAAAAAAGAAGTGCAGCCAAAATATTACAGTAGCAATTGTGGCTTTCTGCAGGGAGCATTGTTGGTCAGATTCAACCTCAGCCTCACGGTTGTGGGAAGTTAAATCGCCCTCCAAGGCGAGATGCTTCCAACAGTTTTTCCTGATCCCGTCTGGTCACGGAGAGCGAACTTCTCTGGTCTTGGTACATTAGCGCGATACCAAGTCGGATGCGGAGGCGGGATCCAGCCCTGCCTAAACACATCTCAGCCTTTCTTCACGAGGTGCGCTATGTCGATGTAGGTATGATCGCTTCTTGTCTGGGTCTCGGTGATTGGTGCCCGCCTCGTTTCTCGTGTAAGTCGGTACTATCGTGTACTGCTATCTCACTTCTGCGTATCTCACTGCTTAGACTAGCTCCAAAGCCTCTCTTCCGATGCCCATGTCTAGAACCTTTTGTGAGGGCTGTGATAACCACGGATTGCCTCATCTGGAGCATGAGAGTTTGCTAGACTGCGCCGGCTGAATCGGCAGTGTGCATTGAGTTGGCACTATGGGTGTCAGCCGCTCAATATCGTCATGTTAAGGGTCTCGAGAGTTCCCGTTCTAATTTTATCAGAACCTCGAGAGCTTTGGGTTATTTCCTTCTTCTCATTTCTGACTCTGTTCTTGTCTTACTCAGATTCATCTCACCTTTAAACACAACTCGTTCATCAATTATTCTCTCTTCTATTGTTCACACCTCTCAATTGTTGCAAACATGGCTCCCAAGCAAGAACAAGAATCTGCACTCTTGAACCCTCTCGTCGATGGTCAAGATACAGACGAAGACTCAGAATCCTACCATTATGTCCCTCCTCGAAGACGGCGATGCTCTGCATGCAGATGCGTCGGATGGATCTTCACTCTTCTCTCAATCATCTTTATCTCAGCACTCACTGGTGCTTGGATCTCAATGGCATATCTCAATATTGACCAGACATGTGCTGCACACACAACATCATGGTGTAAGTCCTCGACTCAATGACGCCGCCTAGAACCATCAATTGACCTCTCAATTACAGCACCGGTTCTCAAGGACGTTTCGATAAAATACCACGAACAACCATTTGACGGAAACTTTATGGAAGAGAATGACTTCCGCAAGAATGGCTCTGCTAAAGTCGACGAAGCATGGGAATCACTTGGTGTTGACTGTATGTATTCACCTCTTGGCCAGCCTTGCAAAGTATTTGACTAACACTGTTAAGATCGACCTGGTGTCATCTCGTATGAAGACGGCATTGCCAGCGGTCTCACTGATGCCCATGTCCAAGTTAGTCCTGAGCATGGCGGCGGTTTCATCGTCAATGTTGAGGGCATGCATCACCTTCACTGTCTGGTATGAATTCAATGGCAAAAGTAAAGGGAACAATGGCTAACTTGTTCACAGAATCTTGTCCGCAAGTCTCTCTACTTCAATTACGACCACTATAAGGCCCTGGGTGGACATGCCTTCAAGAACGACGGCGAAGTCTTCCGCCTACACGTCAGTAAGTCACACTGTCACTCTCCTCAATACCTTTCAAAACTGACCTCTACAGCGCACTGCCTTGACACAATTCGCCAAGTTCTCATGTGCAACGTTGATACCGGTGTTCTTGGACAAGTCTGGTACGACAGGAAGAACCCCAGCGCGTTCCCCGACTTCAACACCAAGCACACTTGCAAGAACTACGAAGATATCAAGAAGTGGTCAGAGAAGCTTCAGGTTAGTATCTCCTGACTTAATTCTTGACCAGAATGCTGATGAACCTTGATGCAGGCTCCTCCTCCTGGTACACTGCCCCCAGACTTCCTCGCCAACCCACACCCAGAGCATGTTCTTGAGTTCACACCATAATGACATACATTCCCTCAATGATATAAGATTCACGACTTCTAAAGACGATAATGCGATTTCAGTAATGTTTCTTCTTGGGTTACATGTAGATAGATATCTGGCATACACACCAAGCAGGCTCCAACGCCATCAATATTATAATACCCTCCTTTCATACATATGCTCAGGCATCTCTCTGTAAAATCTCTCAAGAAACTCTCACTGTCGCTTTCCACGTTTGAACATACCAGCCTTGTCATGTCAGCCTCAAGATCAAGTGGCTTCCTGGCTGCCCGGTCAGCATGTCTCACTTCGTATAGGGCTGTAGACTTAACACATTCTTCATTCGGATTAAAGTGTGAACATGGGGAATCTCAGCCGCACGAAAGAAATGCGCTTATAGAGATGCATATTTTAGGAAACGGCTAATCCAGCCGCCCAGCCGTTTGGCCGGAAACGGTTCATCGAGGTGGTGGCAGTCAGCATTCCAGTCCAAGGTCAACATCGTCACGATACAACAGACTTCACGTAAATGAGCTAAAAATTACGGGATTTTCTTGATATTGGTGTGGCAGAGCGTGCTAAACGAGTGACCTTGTAGCTTCCTCCAGACCAAAAGAGAGTGTATCAGATATGTATCTGCGCTAGGTCAAATCATATTCCTTCGTATCATCCTAGGGCGCAATTAAGCCTTGACCTCAGCCTGAAGACGGTGGAAGCCACCAGAGGCAGCGACATCCTTCTGAAGCTGAGCAATACGCTTCTGGTCTCCAGTAGGGTCACTAGACTCTCCAGAGAGAGTCCACTCGAGGTACGAGTTGGTGTAGTTGGGCTCAAAGCTCTCATCAAGAACACCAAGACGCTTGCCGTACTTGGTGACCTTCTCCCAGTCACGCTTGACGTTCTTGAGATCCTTGCTGAAGTAGGCAAAGCTGCGCTCAAAGATCTTGCGGTTGAGCGCGGTACCCATGACGGGCTTGAAGTCGACGTACTCGGCCCAGGCCTTCTCGGGCTCGGCGAGGACAAAGTCGGTGGCCTTCTTCACGGCGTGGAGGAACGAGCGGACCTTCTCAGGGTTCTCGGCGAGGAACTTCTCGTTGCCGATGTAGAGGATGGTGCAGAAGCAGCAGCAGCCAAGCTCAGCGAGTTCATCGATGCGAAGCATCTGGACATCGTCCTTGGAACGGCCCTGGGCAGAGAGCCACTCCTCGAGCTCAACCATCTGGACGTTCTCCAGACCGATACCGGCGTCGATCTCGCCCTTGATGATGGCCTTGGAGACGTTCATACCACAACGCACGGCGGTATAGTCATCAGGAGTCATGCCATAGTGCGAGGTGAGTTCGTCGATCTGGATCTTGCCAAATTCACCGACATAGCCGATGCGCTTGCCCTTGAGGGTGCGGAAGTCGGTGGTGATGCCAGAGTCCTTGAGGTAGACGACGCCAGTGAATGGCTCGTCGAGAAGACTACCGATGGACTGGACGGGGAAGTTTCGGGCCTTGGCAGCCAGAGTGTGAATCATGGCCTTGAATCCAAGGTCGACCTTGCCAGTACCAATGATCTCAGTGACATCCTGGGCGGTCATCAGCATCTTGATCGTCATTCACCATAGAACAAACACTTACACTAGGATCGTTGGGCTCAAGAAGAGCAACCTTGATTCCCTCCTCCTTAAAGTAGCCCTTGGCCTGAGCTAGGTACAGCGGCGCGTGGTAAGGCGTAGCGTGCCTAACAACAGTCAACACAAGTTCATTCTCTAAAGCAAGTCAGTTGTACCAGTTGGTGAGGAAAGTGATCTTATCAGTCGACATGATGAAAGATCAAGTGGTATACTGCTAGGGTTAGTTTCCCGGTCACCCGGAGCAAAGGGGGGGATGTCAAGAAGCATGTCCTTTCGCTGGTATTATCCAGATCAAGTTCGCCGGTATTTCTCAGATCAACTGCCCTGCTCTGCCCGTCCTCACGCACGATGCACAGTCATCACCATTAAAGGTGGGTGAGATGTATCGTGAGATGAGGGGAGGCACAGAGCATAGAGGCAGTTGAACACCCGGATGCGTTCTTTTAAACGTTACCTTGATACGTGGTAATAATTGCGAAGAGAGCCATTGCTCCTTGGTCGTGCGTTGTCACATCGTACCGAAAGTTATGTGAGTGGTGCTTGAAACAAAGTTACTGATTGAGACAAGACAATTGTCAGATAATTGAGTTGAAGAACAAGAGTTGAGAAAGTGAGAGGATGTGTCTTGATATATGAATGCCTCAACAACCCCTCAGCGGGGTTGATGCATCCTACACGACCTCAACGTCATGGTAATGTGGGCATTTGTACGGAAATAAAGGTCTTATTGGCTATCGGTTATCAATAGTGAGTAGTAATGTAACAACAAATGGCTCAGTTTTGGTGATAGAGGCCTCGAGAGCGCTTCACGGCTCGGCTTAACATTTCAAGTCGTGGGGCGTCTTGCAGTAGGGTCAACTCTATGCAGATTGTCAACATGATATGACAACAGGTCATGTTACGTTCAGAATTACGTTCACCCATGAAGCCTGAAGAAACTGATTGAGAAAAGAACCATGAAATGAATCATTTCACAAATTGAGCCGCTCGTTATTCACATCATGATATTGAAAATGTCGCGGCAAGGCTTCAGTTCAGGGTAGGCCCACAACTTCAATCTCACGACACTTTTGCTCGATCGTGATACAATTAGACCGAGACCGGAAGCTCGGTTCGACCAACAACAAGTTGCATATGTACCAAGATATCGGCTAGAGAACTGCCAATAGCTTCACAGATGATCTGACGATACTTTGGGATATGTGCCCGCTTCACAGAACCTGTCATTTCGATAGCATGATGCTCATTATAGCCGCCGGCAAATTCGGTGTGCTTCGAAGAAACTGCCGTTTACTACACGGCTCAGGAGATACTTGCCGATGGATGATTGAGGAAAGTACTTCGGCAAAACATGTTTCCGGGTTAGAAATGTCGATTTGATTTCGCATGTGAAACAGTTGTGATGAGCTTCTTTCAACATGCGTCCGTTGAATGTCTTGGGCACATGCTCCATTGAGGAGACAAGGAGCTGCATGACAATGACTGAGCAGTAGCATTGAGCAATTTGAGCATATCAACTGACAACAGCACACATAACAACAAGGAGAAAAGGTTCTCGGATTCAATTCACGCGAAATATTCATTTCCTATGACCAACCCCCATTGGCCCTCTTCAAAGCTTGCAGCTCCGTGCCCTCGGCCGGGCGCCCGCATGTTCCACTGCCGTCGACAGGGCTGAAGTGCCTCACACAAAATTCTCAAGACACAAGGAATTCTAGATGCAATAGCTTGTCGCAAACCCCGTCTCCCTAATTGGCTCGGGGATCTAGACCCGGAGCTGGGGCAGAGCTCTCCCCTGAGAACGAGCTGAGACCGTGGGATCTCGGTGTCCCAAATAGGAAACACAAGGATCCCAATATCGCGGGTTGCTTGGCCCGTTGCATCTTCGGTGTCGAAAAGCGTAGGTCTTCACGTGGGACCTTGTCCTATCGTTTTGACGCCCAACATGTTTGAGACAGATCTGAGGTCGATTGCTCCTAAAATAGGCGACCGAGATGTGCGTCTCTCACCGAGAGCTGTATGTACGTAAGAAAGTTCCTGCAAAAGCTTCATCCCGCGCGGTGTAAGACATTTGGATTTGACTTAGACTTCCCCGGACAGGGAAGAGCCTGGTATACTGAGGCCTGCTTCGATCTAGGATGATGCCGTATCCGTGTCAGTTTATTGATACGGGCACACGAGCACTTTCCAGTCTTTGAACCTTGGATGCGACGCGAAACATTAACATTTCAAGCTGTTCACGGACCATGAGTTAAAGTTACGCCCAGGCCAAATGATAAAATGATTGGTGGTTGGGAGTATCTGCAAACGACATGTCGCGTGTAAGCGGGCGATGCACATTCGACGGCAGCATGCCATTGAATAATCTCAAAGCATCCAGATATAGAAGCAAAGTGAAGAATGTAATGACTACGCCTATTAGGTGAGGCTGATATTGAGGCTGGAGTGAGACGAAACCAGTCTCGTAAGCAGCGATGACGTCGATCAGATGTTCAAATGGTGCGTTGCAGGAGAGGAAAACCCCGTGACGGTCGGGAATAGCGGACGATGGAGATATGAATTGGTAATATCCACGGAGTCTGGAGCATAAGATCGGATTTGAATCTTGCGATATTCCGTTACTAAGACAAGAAAAAACAAGAACTATTTGACGCCGGTATCATAAGAGCGACGCCGGGAGATATCCGATACAGCCGTAATTACGGCCGGGTCGGTGGTTCGGTCGAGTCCGACCGTCATGCTTCCGCCACTTACAACCAGACCATTTCAGACCATTTCAGTTCAGCTCACAGCTAGAAAATATTTTAAATTTTTGTGTGCAAACCACGAAAGCTTATGAGGCCCTACCAAAATGTAACTCAATAAACTCTGAAGCAAAAGATGTCAGGTACTATTAGGATATTTGTATCAAAATCATGCACATTTGCAAAGCAGGGCAAAAAAGAAGAATGCGATGATGCAGAATGGATCATCATTTCAGGGACTGGTTGTACATGCACAAGGGCCCCCCGACTGTGCCGAATCCGCCAAGCTACGATGATGATCACTGTGGCGGCAATGGCTCAGGGCTGGCTTGGTACAAGTGTTGAGCATGGGTGACAAAATAAGTCACTCAGTCTCTCATTGGAGGGCCAAGTTCTACCAAAAACAGCTCTGACTTAAGCTGCGCATCATTGGTTGCACTCCGTGGGGAAACCCAAAAGCTACAGGTTGACGTTTGTCTCTTTGAGACGTCTGGATGTTGGTTTCAAGACGTTTCATGAGGTGAAGATCTGAATCTTAGGTGCGGTATGCATATTGAACACTATGTATACGTATACGTATTTGTGCTACGTGGAGGTTTAACCTCGAGCATGACAGATCGACGCCGTGTCTCACCCGCGCCTTGTGCCACGCCTCCAAATACTGACATCACTTGGAGACAACCACGCACAACACAGTTTCTTTTTATAATATCGCAAAGTTTCAAAACACAGCGCGTCTTTGGTCCAGGTAAATCACAAGCCAGAAAATGCTGCGTTGTCGTTTATTACCCCTCAATAGGTGATGCGTCGCTCAAGCGATCAACACACCAACCTAGTTTTTAGCTGGATCAAACGAGCACCGGCGCGTTCAGATCCAAGGTGAGCGGCGGTCTGTGTTTAAAAAGGGTCCAAGATACTACAAGCTTATTGGTTTCCCATATGAGCTTCTGCTAAAAAAAAACATCCACTCGTTTACAACAGCAGCACACCATTTACTGATCTACAGCAGAAATGTGCCTTGCGCGGTAGCCCACGAATATCATTACATTTTGAGGCAGGAAACTCTAACTTGATCTTCGTTACTCCAGACTTGCGCTGCGTGGATGATCCTGGGGTAAAACAGACAAAGAAAGAAAGAGGCGACATGTTTGCGTATTGATTGTTGTATAACGCATAAAATAATGAAGGCGGTTGACGTTACTTGATGCTGTCATCATATTTCGAGCTGTTGCTGTCGCGTCTGGAGATGCGCCCCGACCAGGGGATACCTTGCACAAAGGACGTGCGTCTCCGTCATCGTCATCCCCAAAAGAGAGTGAGATTGGTCGAGAGAGAGCGCGGCTTGGAGACACCATGTGGCTCGAGGGCTTCGAGGTGCGCGACTGGAGGGTTCTAGGCCTCTTGTGTACATACAGCCTATTTCCACGATGGCTTTGCTGCTTTTTCCATTTGAGCATGCGGCATCAAATGCAGCATCGTGATGGGGGACGTGGGATGTCTAAACCTTAGGACGAAAGCTACGTGCCGACGGCCGAGAAAACAGCCCGCCTCGGCAAATCACCCAAACTTCAGTGCTAGGTGCATATCCGTATAAACTTTTGCATTAAAACAACCGAGAGAAACATTAGAGAGAGCCACAAAAGAAGCATGCCATGTGCGATGACATGACAGAGTTGGATAGAGTTTCTGGTAACGCGGGGAGACTGAACAACCTTGAAACGCAAACGTGTTGAGTGTGAGAAAACATATGCATGCTGTGGTCCATGGAGATTGATACATATGCGATATTCATTCACTTCGAGACTCGTGCAGCCTACGTCTGCGGTGTAACCAAGACCCGGGTTTGGTTTAGTCGTTTGAGTGGGAAAATGTCTCTGATCAGAGGATGATCTTTGAGTTGTCACGACTAGTCGATTGTTAATCAATGGATCTTGGAACAACTGTACAGTCAGCTAGCTAGTCAAGACAAGACAGGTCAGTGTAGGTAGGTATCTCCGAGCGGACTTTTCACTCTCGCTTCCATCTCAGTGAGTGCCAGTGGAGTTTAGTTTGTGATGGAGGCTCCAGAGCCCTGAACTCGCTGCTCCGTGTCTGGTCGCGGGCTACGATAAATTACCCCCGACACACCTAGCCCTCTTAGCTCAGCCGATAGAGTTTCCCCTTAGGGTATAGTCCGTACCAAGAGAGCCAATCACACATATCGTCATCGTCCCAGAGTCTTTTCTTACACCCCCATAAACTTTGGTCGTTATTCTGTCGCCCCCATCTCGGCCAGGTCACTCCTACTTAACCATCATCACCACCACCAGATTTTTCCCACTGACAATCCTTGCTTACTGTCGTGTGTTGGTCAACTACGGTCACTCCTCGCCCTTTTTCGCTTTCTCAGCAGTGAGAGAAGCCAGTCCTCTCCGCTCCGCCCGGGCAGCAGATTACAGTAATCCCAGTCCCAGTCCCAGTCACAGTCACAGTCCCTGGCATCGTCGGGATTTTACTGCATATCCATCCGTTGGTGGACCCTTGTTCGAGACAAGACAAGAACCCACGACAGCCTTGCCTTGTCTTTCAAAGCAAGCCCGGCATCTTTTTTTGTCTCTCTCGTCTCGCCCCATTCTTCCTTTCATCACCACCAACCTTTCTCCTTCTCCTTGACCGAGCTCCTGTCAAAGACCCAAGCTAAATTATCTGGAGACTGGGACCTGCTTCAGAGCAAGGATTCACCCCCCACGCTTGAATACTTGATCTCGTGCCTCCCACCCAGACTCGAATGAAGTTGCTTGTTCAGCTCATCGTCGCCAAAATGAATTCCACAATCTTGTAGCCGATACTTGCAACGCGCGAGCACTTGCAACTACTACATAGGTTGCATATTCCACCTACCGTTGCAACTTCAATCTTTCGACTTTAAAAGTCCATCCCGCCTTCAAAGATCAAACCGCCTTCCCCCACGACAACTTCACTCTTCATCCTACCTACCACCTACTTCATCCGATCTATCAGCCATCTACATCACGGTTACTATCACAGCGACATCACCAAGTCATCCGAAATAGTCCTAGAGGATCAGAGCAAGACTGTATGACCCTAGACAATATGACTTCGAAACGCAGTTCACGACTCTTCGTGGACGAGCCCACGCATACCAAAGAAGGCCAACAAACACCCAACGCCACACAATTCCGTTCGAGACAGGGCTCTCGAAGCTCCACAAGAGAAGAGACGATGCAGGAAGTAGAGGAAGCCCTCTTCAATGGCCGCGATGCCACAAATATCAGCCGATCTGGGAGCCTTTCTGCCGTCAATATGGAAGCATCCCTATCAACCTCTTCAAGAACTAGTAATTCGAGTGGTAAGTTGCACTAGATCACCTAGTCCTAGTGAACTATCTCTAACCGAACTTAAGCCTCCTCAACATCGGCATATCAATCACAGTCAACCGACTACACAGCGCCTTTCAATGGCCGACCTCACAATTTTGGCGTTGTCATTCCAGGCTTTTACCGAAGTAGCTTTCCTAGGTCTCACGATTTCGAGTACCTCAAGGGTCTGGGCCTCAAGACCATTGTGTTAGTGCCTCCATTATGATGCGTTTTTGGCATCGCCGCTAACCTGTTGTAGCACGCTTGTCAAGAAGGATGAACTTGATCAAGATCTCGAGACATTCGTCCAGCGTGAAGGTATTCGACAAGTCGTCTTCAACATGAAAGGCACCAAGAAGGAAGCCATTCCTCTGAGCACAATGAAGGCTATCCTCAGTATCGTCCTCGACAAGTCAAATTACCCTCTGTTGATTCACTGCAATCACGGAAAGCACCGAACTGGATGCGTTGTCGGAGTTGTCCGAAAGATCGCCGGCTGGGACGCCGAGAGCGTCGTGGCAGAGTACAAGAGCTACGCTGAGCCAAAGGCCCGTGAATGCGATGTCAACTATCTTGATGACTTCCAGGTCTCGAGTTTGGGAATTTCGAATCCCATTCCCAGCATGATAAAAGACGTCTACAAAAATCGCAGTCGGTTTCAACCTCGCACATTTTTTCGAGCCGTCTTCCTCTCAGCCTTCGTCTTGCTGTTGTTCTTCATGTCAGGATCAAAACTCAGCACAGCGACAAGACCTGACCATCTGCTTCTCTGACCATGGCCAGTCGGCGACGGCCGATACTGACATCCTGATGAAACTTTGACCATCTCATCCTCCGAAAAGCTCAATCGAACACGAAAAAGCTCTTTTCACAAACTACACATGTACAACCAATACTTTTCCTTTTACTTATGACAACCTCGATTCGGCAGACACCGACGACGATGTGTCCGAGCCACCAAGAGAAGGATTTCATATTTACCACTCGAAAACCAGATGTGTCGAGGTTTTTTCTATTCATGACTTACTATGCATTTGACGGCAAGGGCCGTATGGGTTTTGGGAGACGAATCAAGGGCTGAGAATGTCTTCCAGACTGGCGTTTTATTCTAAAGAAATGGAGAGGCACTGAATGCTAGACTTTGGGCTGGAGATTTCCCTTTTTCAACAGAGGTACGAGTTTGCCTGTTGATGTGATAGGAGAAGCAAAAGGCGCATTGGAATACAGGGTTTGAACTGTATTAATAGATACCTACTGATGATACCTGGATAGCAGGGCGTTGGGTAAAATAGCAGAAGAAAAAGTGCTATCATTTATGACTTCCAACACGTGCGATGCTGACACTGCTCCCATGATTAGAGTCTAGCTTGAGTTTATGTCTCGGGCTAAAAATTGAGGTATCACTCACCGTAAAGTTAGAGAAAGCCTAAGTTGTCTTTCTCAATTCCTATGTGCGATGGCAAAGCATCGCATTCCCTTCAATATATATCGTTCTGACTCATATGATCCTTTGGACAGCATGACTAACACAGGGTAGGATTGGGGCTGGTGATGCTATATTTGGGTGTCGCTGCAACCTGGGTCAGCCACAGCAGCAACATGGGAATTGACTCAATTACCACTCCAGCTTATAAAAGGAGCATTCTGCATGTTCTAGATGATGGGCTCATCATGTATGCCAGGGTTGCTTTGGTTTATGTAAATCTGCCTCGCCGTCTCGTATTGCAACCAATTGTTGGTGGTAAGCTCGTTCCTGATGCCTGTCGACATTCGGGAACGAGCTTATGATCTGACCTTGTCTTGAAGCATTGCAACTTCATGACCGGCAGTTTCTACTATGAGAAGATGTTGCGCAGTAATTTGCTTTGTCTCAGATATATGGGAGATGACTTATGAGTCACGACGAAGGGTTACAGCATTATGAGGTTTGTTGGCGCTAGTTTGTTATCCTGGCCATGTGAAATTGATAGACAGATGTTCATTTTCGTGACGCATATACATCTTGATTCATAACCAACACACCCAACTGCCGGACCAACGGCTCCTATAATCCATTCCGCGCTGACATCCAACAAACATATCGTACAACACCTATCATACAGCCAACACAACTCAAAGCCTAGTTCCCCCATCGGTTCCTGTCCACTCTGGCCTTCTCGTCCTTCTCAAAATCACCATTGGCATAGACCCAACCGCCAGCAACGCAGTTCGCGGCCCCCAATCCAATAGCCGTGCCACGCACGACCCCTCGGACCGAGAACCGTCCACGGAAAGGCTGACGTCGTCGCAGAGCCAACAGCACGTACAGTCCCGACCAGGCAGCGGTTAAGCCAGCACTGCCGGTGGGATAGCCGGACAGGTTGAGGTAGGACGAGAACAGCAGCGGAGGTGTGAAGATGAAGAGGGGCAGGGATGGGGGCCGCGCGTGAAGAGCGGTGATGAGGGTTGCTAGGAGAGATGGAGGGAGAGATGCAGCTGGGTTTTTCAATGTTAGTCTATAACTTGTTTTCCTGAGTCACAAGAGCATTTGCACTGATACTGGGAAATATGAATGGTAAGGTTCAGTGAGCGAGTGAGTGACTTACTGCCCCAATCGTTGAGATAGTCGAAAACAGACTTTGATTTAACCGCCGTCACTGGATCTTCATTCGCCATTTTTGCGAATTATATGCAAGTGAGAAATGCAACTGTTGCAATTGGCGCTTAGCGATGAGCTTAGAGTCGTGATGCAAAAAGCTTTGGCAGCTCTTTTGCTACCCCGGTCAATTTGTGACGTCGTGCATGATGACTAAGTCATTTCAACTCCAACTTCCAGTTCTACCTAGAACTCAAGGTCACATGTCTCCTCCAACAACACGAACAACACGAGGAGAGTCAGCATGCAATGCAGTGGACAAGTCATCTCCCCCCGTGCATAAACGTTGTTTCCGGTTCGCGATTTCTATTATTATTCTTATTCCCTTTAGCTCTGGGGCCGAAACGTTTCAGTTTGGGCTCTAGCTCTTGCGCTCCGCCACAGTAATAATCACCCGAAACAGGTAGGTCATATCGTACATCATCAGAGACGGAAAAACATTCGATATTCATAGCTTGTGTGCGCCTTGCCATCAGAAGGAATGACAGTCCGTCCAAGCGTTGTGTTCTATGTAAGTGTAATAAACATGAAATTGGGTTGCTAAACAATGCTTCTAACAAAAGAGAGAAAAGAAACGAACAGGATTAAAACGGGGTATAAAGAGAAGTGAAACAAAAAAAAAAGCTTAATCATACACTTTCCGTCATGATGTCGTTAAGATATTCCCGAGTCAGCCTTGCCCCAGGACTAGCGTCCGCTGTGATAGTATCGCGGATCATGGGTGTAAGCACTCTGGTCATACTCGCCGCCCCAGGCTTCATTCGAGTAGCCCTGCGAGTACCCTGATGCATCCCACTGCTGGTAGTTTGTGTCATAGCCTTGCATGCTGTACTGGTCTCCCGAGGGTCCAGCCGTGGCATAGCCTCCAGCGCTCTGGTCAGCGCTCGAGAGCAAGTTGAGATCGAAGCCATCTTCAGGGCTGAGCTGTGAGAAGTCGAACTGGCTCAGAACACCCCCTGCTTCGTCTCCCGACGTGACTATTCGGGACGAGTGTCCGTGATGCTTGCTAGAGCGCTTGGACGAGCTGCCCCCTCGTCGGGAGCTGGAGCTCGATGGACTATCGCCATCGTTGGACTTGCGAGGACTGCTCTTCTTCTTGGAAGACTTGGAGCCGGAGCGTGTGTACTCGCAGCGAAGACCATTGCTCCGACATCGTTCGCAGCCATTCTTGTCTCCACTGCACTTAAGCTATACAGGACATCGTCAGCAAATAAGCTCTAAGCGAAAAGGGCGAGAAAAGATCTTGGCGTTAGGAAGCCTTGTTGGGCTAGCCAATGCTTCTGCAGACATACCTTCTTCTCATGACAGCGATCGCAAGCCTGGTGGGAACTGGAGCGGGCCGTGACAGGGTCGAAGCCATTGCGAACGCTCTGGACCTCATCCGTCTCTGGATCGTACTTCCAAGTACCAAACATGGCTATTGCTGTTTCTGATAACGGACTGGTATAAGTGAGGGAGTCCTAGGTGGCCCATAGAACGATTGGCGAGAAGAGAAGGGGATAGGAGAGGTGGTAATAGGCAACTGAATTCTTGCAACTGATTGTATGTATATCGACTCAAGTGTAGATATGCTTGGATGGAACTTGTGTGTCTTGCTCTTTATTTTCTGCCTGAATGGAAAGCATCTCGTGGCGTTTTTAAACCCCGAGGCATCTGGTATAAGAGCGTCCGTGGACAAGGTAGAGGTCTTATAGGCAACAACGGGACTTGATCCAATCCAATCCGATCCCAACCCAAGCCAACAGAGTGTTGTAGTGAGCGAGCCCGCCCATTATCGCGGACCCCATTTTCCACAGTGGGCATGAGGTATCGTGCCGAGCCGCACTGCCAGGCTCCCGTCCATGGGATGTGATACCTTTTGGGTCGGGTTGGTTTAGGTAAAGGGCAGTTGGTCGAGTCGCACCCCTGTCTCCGATCTATATGATGCTCCGGGTCTCCGTCTAAGTGGTGTCCCTTGCACGACACACACCGCACTAGTCATGCCGGCTCCTTCAGGAGCGCTTTTTTGGCATAGGTGACGCATTCTTCTGAGTGCGTTGATTACGTTGTTCCTCTATTTTAGAATCTAGGCTGCCTGATTTTACTGAGGTGTTTGGTTTCCGTAGCGTTCTTTTTGGGTGGTTTATTATCTCTCCCGTAAGGTTATGTAATGCCGTAGTAGTGTGTAGTCTAAGTGACCCGGTCGAGTTCAGGTGGAAACTCGCGAGATCCCTGCGATATGAGTGGTCCAACTCCACCTGTGCCTGGAGGAGGAGGCTAAGAAGGCTGGAGGAATTCCTACGAGCATTATCCGTCGAATAAGAGAAACATGTGTGCGACGATGCTCAAACTCTGCGTGGCTGTGTCTGCGTCTGCCCTGGAAACAAGAGTTCTAGAGTCCAGTCTGTATATATTGATAGTAGGAATAGTGTAGCACTGCATGCAGGGCCCCCAATTCCTTCATTGGGCGCTTATCGATTGCCACGCTCAAGGCTATGTATGTGTTGGTATCCTCTTTTCCCACAATTCGATGCCAGTGAGAATCATTCTTGCTGTCTGCCGGGTGCCTTGCATCCTTTGATCTACAACATATGATGTAAAACCGCTACAAGTTGCTCCAACTGAGTAATTGCCCGTCTGTTGGTTGCGATTGTTGGTTGCTAGTCCCGGCCGTGGGGAAAAGGCAACGCCGCAATTTTAGGCAAAAGCCTCCACAGTCGGCAGCGAACCGACAGGCGAACCCTTGAACGTCATAACATTAACCCCAATCGAGACTACAATATGATATTATCGTGCCATGAAGACACCGAGGCTTGACTCACTGCCCCTCTAGCCGGAGTTTTGTATCAGGTGGATCACAAGGTTATTTAGACATAACGATGAAATTACAACAAAATACGATTTAAAGTGGTTGCATGAGGTTTTCAGGGAGGGCACGGTGAGTCGATATCAAACGGTGAAGGGGGTGGCAGAGCTACGTACTGTTCTGTACTGTACTGTACTGCACTGCACTGGACAGGAGTTGTGAGTGATAATATAAACTACAAGATTGATATGATACTCCAGTATCAGCCTTGTACGGCACGGCATGTTACATAAGTGGTGGGTTTTACGTGTGGTGGTTCGAATTTAGGCAGACTGTGGAGGCTGAGGCTGTCATTCTTGGAATCCCCTCATCACTGCAGTATCATGGGACTTGACGATGCAGGCCTCAGAGTATATTTTCTCGTATATTTGTGTTTTTCCATCCAAAACCACCTACTCTTACACTCTCTGATATCGTCATATTCATCCGTGTCTTACTGCTCACCCTTCAACCATCAATCTCCGCAAAATCTCTCGTCTGTCACCCTCAATCTTCACATCTGGCGCCCGCGCCAATTGTGAGGTTGCCCACTTCACCCGATCTACATCTTTCTTGACATCATGATACGCCGGTAGTCAGGCTGCCCAGCGCACCTGCTTCACCTCCCTGATCTCGAGGTATTCTGCGTATTCTAGAAGATCACCCATCGGGACATTGCTGTCGAGCCTCTGCACCGTCCCGTTGTTCCAGTGCACTAGAACCTTGGCGTACCGCTTGTCAGGTGCCAAGAAGGCCACGATGCGGTCACATGATGCTCGGGGGTTGACTGAAATGGTAAACGAAAAACTGTTTTCGCTTCGCATTCCATTCCTTGTGTTGTCATATACCTCAAATACAGGCCTGCCATTGCGGTTATATCTGTGGGGCGGATGCGAACGACCTTGACTGGTAGTATGCACGTCGGACATATGTCCATAGTTATCGTGGCTATGGGAGATACCTGTCGGATGGGGGCAACATCTGCAAGTACATCTCGTGGGGTCCGAAGTTTGATAGCGTCCTTGCATATCGAGGGGCACGATGTAAGTACCATATGTTGACCCTCGCTTGAGTTTTGGTGCCCGACCACTGTTGAGCGTTGTGTTGATCTCCTCCTGCGGCGAACGATCCCGCCCTCTGTCAGAGCGAGAGCGTCGTCTGTCATTGCTCGCACGGCGCTCTCTGTTCAAATGAGAGTAATCGTCGTCCAATACTGGGGAAGAAGCTGAGCCCCTTCTCGGGCGCAGGTCCTGATCTCGTCTGGAATAGTGATGTTGCTGTTCCCATCTCATATGGTAAGGCACTTCGGATTCGCCAGACCTACGTGAGTACGAGTGAGAATCACGACTACTTGAGGACCTGCTGCTGCGACGCCGATCATATTCACTGTAGGCACTCTGGTTCGAATAGACGGAGTTTCGCCTCCTAGCTGCCGCAGCGTCAAGATCGTAGCGTTGTGATGAGTACGACATGTTGGGCTTTGATTCGGTATACAGACCTGATTTAAGTCACGGTTTGGTTTGAGGTGAGTTGGCTCTGTAATTTGCGTGGAACACTGAGTCTGTGAGTGTAGAAGAGGTTGGTGAGAGTCCCTTAGGTATTTAAAGAAATACAGAGTCCATTGACGAGTCCATCATGACGACCTTGAAGGCCGGCCCATAGGTCGACCTTGGATTTGAACATAGCTTCGACTGAACAATAATCGAGAACATCGACTCTCCTTTGTTCAATTCATATTGAGAACGTCGAGTAGTCTTTGTTTATCAATTCCCATCTTTCAGCATAATGTCCACTCGAACAATGTTCAAAGATACATCCATGGTTGTTCTGCAGAACGGGTCGAATCGTTCCGTTTTCATCAAAGAAACAAGTCAAAGGGTGCAGGTACACAGCTTCCGGGCTTCCACAAGGTCATATTTGTGCTGAGCCTGTTCAGGCCCTGGGCAACTAGGCCTTTTGAGAGAAAATAGAAACGGGGTCTTTCACGTTCACGCGGGTCCCAAGATGGCAGGTCGATCTTTTGTTTGATTAAGTCAAATCCTAAATGGAAGCAATGGGAAGTTGGAAGAATGAATGGCGCGATGAGGCTCGGGGACGCAACGGAGGCCGACATATGAAATTAGGGGCACACGCAGAGATAAAGTCCCCTAAAATTTGAGATAAGCCAATGGTTATGTCCCATCCTGTTTGCGGGCAGCTTCCCCACAGTGGCCAAAGGGGGCTAAGGGTGCGGCAAAAGCCACAGGTGGAGGCCACTCTCCAAAAGGCCAGCAAAGACATGTCCATTCCATTTCATCACGCACTCTAATCTTTGCAACCATCTTCTTACTCTATTCCCATCAGCCTCCAAATCCTTTGGCCTTGCCATTTTCTCTTTCCTTGCTTCTTCTCTTCAATCCTTACCGGTCTCTTCAGCTCATTAATCAAAATGGCTCTCTCTCCCCAGATGTAAGTCGTTCTCCAGGCGACAGCCGTCGCGCAGATTATGTCTCCGGTAGCGCAAAGAAGAAAACGCTGACATTTGCGATAGCACCAACCTGATCATCATCTTGGGTATGATGCAGGTGTCGAAGCGTGTTCCCTTCGATGATCCTTTCGTGCTCAACGTCGTTCGCGCCGTCTATCTCGCCAGCAACGTCATCATTGCTGCTCTCTACTTCTACACCCAGCTGAAGATCAACAAGAAGAAGGGTACGATAACTTGACTTCTGAGGCAATTTCTACCATCGCAATACTAACATGGGCTTCCACAGACCTCACAACCCTCAAGTATGTCGAGCCCGCTCCCATGGGCTCCACTGAGGAGGGCAAGCTTGTCACCACCACCATCCACGCCTACGACAACCAGCAGATCCGCACCGCTTTCCGTGGCCAGGCTATGGGCATGGCCATGATGGCCTTCATGCACATCTACATGAAGTACACCAACCCTCTTCTCATCCAGAGCATCATCCCTCTCAAGAGCGCCTTCGAGAACAACATGGTCAAGATCCACGTCCTTGGCCAGCCTGCCGCCGGTGACCTCAAGCGTCCCTTCAAGCAGCCCCAGGGTTTCATGAGCGCCATGCAGGGTGGCCCCGCCCAGAGCGACAAGAAGGCCGTTGAGGCTGCTGAGCGCGCTGGCCGTGGTGGTGCCAAGGAGGAGTAAGCTAGAACTTCTGAAACGAATATCGGCTTTAGAGGATAGCGTGGACCGTAGGCTAGGGTTGTAATAGACCTTGGTTGTACTATAATACAGGTGTCATGGCTCGCAAAAGTATTTGCTTGTGGCGAAAGCCAAAATCAAGGGATTGGGACATGTTTAACAATTTCTTGAATTGATATCTAATGTAGAAAAGCAAGAAGAATATTACGAGAACTTATGAGGTCTTTGACCTCAAAAGCCATGTATATCTTGGTGAATGTCAAACGTTTGCGTAGGCTGCAGTCACGTTTTCTCGTGTAGATTGGTGACATAATTCAGATCTAGATCGCGACAAACCGCCCCTCCGCCACCCATCGCCGTCATCGAGGACCCTGAATCAAACTTCTCCTTTGACGTCTGCATTTGGTCTTTTCTCCCTAAGTTCTCACTTTCCACTTGCATTGTGATTCCGAAACGAAAGCCAGCTGTCTCTGTCTCTGCATTGTTCTTTCGGTATTTTGTCTCCGCTCCGATTGCTCATCATGGAACGGCCATCTACACCACCTCGGGCAACAAAGCCTGCACCCACAATCACTCCGCCAACCCCTGAGGTAACGAAGCGCATAGTATGTATAGTCCTGGAGTAGATATCTCTATTTTCTGGAGATACTGATCTGTATCTAGGAAGAAAACCGACTCCGCGCAAAGGCGATCCGAGATCAGCGTGAAGCCGAACAACGAGCGACCGGCACCGTACCCGAAATCCCAAAGAGCTCCGGAGGCTTTGTACCAACAAAGGACGTTTACATCTCTAAAACTGCCGACGGAAAACGACCGTACAGCTCTATCTCCACAGAAGATGCTTCTAAGGGAACAAATCGAGATGGGCGTAACAAGGGCGATGAGGAGGCGTTGCGGCCGGCGCGCAAGTTCACAAAGTTCGTCGATTACAACATGAGTGCCATGACAGATACGAAGGGTGGTTTCCTATCGACGGAAGATGATCCGCACAACTATGCTCTGGGTGGCAAGAAGCCTGGACAGTCTGAGGATGACCAGCGACCGAAACACATGAGCGTTCAGGAGTGGGAGAGATTACAGCTGATACGAAACTTGAAGAGGCTTAAGGCAGGTCCTTTTGAGCCTGGGCTCAGTGTGCTTGCGGACAACGAGACACGAAAGAAGTGCCAGGACTGCAAGAGCTTGGAGATTGACTTTGTCTGGGAAGAAGTCTTCCACATCTGCGTTTGCAACAAGTGCAAGGAGAAATATCCAGAAAAGTACTCGTTGTTGACCAAGACTGAGTGCAAGGAGGACTACCTACTTACAGACCGTGAGTTGTTCACGCAAGTTCTCGGATTGCCATCGCTAACATAAAATAGCCGAGCTACGAGATCCAGAATTATTGCCACATCTCTCAAAGCCAAACCCCCACAAATCGCATTGGCACGACATGATGCTCTTCCTTCGATGTCAAGTGGAAGAATACGCGATCAAGACGAAGTGGGGGTCATCGGAAGCTTTAGACGCTGAGTATGAACGACGAGAGACACAAAAGAAAGCTCGCAAGGAAGCCAAGTTCAAAGAGAAGCTACTTGATTTAAAGAAAAAGACAAGAACGGACGCTTTCCGCAGACAAGCTGGTAATTTGAGCAAGTCTGGTGCAAGCAAGTTTGGAGATGCAATAGGAGGTGGGCGGCATGTTCATGAATGGGGAAGAACGGTTGAGAATGAGGATGGGATGACGGTCAAGACATGTGTTGATTGTGGAATGGAAGTTGAGGAGCTAGAATTTTGATGCCGTCACATGATGATTTGAGGCCTGGATTTGGAGTTTGGAGTTCAGAGGATTAAAGCACCGTCGTACGGATAGGCCTAACCAGGCTCGAGGACGATCAGGCATAGAATCGAACTATCTTTCTTGTGATTGGTATATCAAAGTAGAGCATGATTCAGGAGTAAACTCGTGTTGGGCAACCGAATCACTTTTCGCTGCAATGTTCCACGGTCTTGGATTCAATTAAGGACTCCTTCATGTTTGACTTTCAAAACCAGCACTAAAACAAGACCCAAACAAAGGCGTTGTTTGTCATCGACTTTGCTTTGTTAGGAGCTGAAATTCCTTGTCGATTATCGGTCCCTGGATTGGTGATCCGCACCTTTAGCCAGGGGTTCCAAGTTGATGCCTGACAGCCTCATATGGGTTTCCAAGTCAAGCTTGTTCAGCGCTGATTGGCTAAAATCTCGGCGGCAAAGCGTCAATACAGAGGATAGCACCAACTAGCAGCGTGGAGATACAGGGCACCACACAGGACAGCACAACAGACAGATGCACCCGACCTCAAAGTACCCGACCAAGACTGGCAAGCTTGGTTTCTTAGCAGCACACGACCCGACGCTCAATTTTTTTGGCTTTCTATCGACAGAAAGCAGACCACAATATCACGATTCGACGTCGATTCAGATAATCCAGGACCGAATCTTCACCGAGACGACCACACGTGCCAAGGCTCGTTGTATCTTTCGCGCAGGAGCTTCCAAGTTCCAGCATCTGGCCTCGTCACATCACATCATACTCCATCAACCGCACCGAGCTTGTCCGACTACGAAACCGGCACTCGCTCGCCTCATCGCTCTCTCTCCCAAACCGACTCGAAGCTCCATGCACCCGCCCAATTGAGAGAGGCGCGCCGCGATGGGCCCTAATGCTGGCAACGGCGTGGGCGGCCTGGAGATGGGACCCATGATGCAGGGCAATGGCTCCAACATCCCCCAGGCCACCGAATACACCCTCCAGGGCGTCATGCGATTCCTGCAGACAGAATGGCACAGACATGAGCGCGATAGGAACTCGTGGGAGATTGAGAAGCAGGAGATGAAGGGCCGCATCGCCAACCTCGAAGGTCAGGCGCGGAGGGCCGATGCTACTCAGCGCGTGCTGAGGAAGTATGTGACTATGCTGGAGCGAAAGGTCAAGGAGCAGACGGCTCAGCTCCAGGGTCAGGAAGCAGTTGATGCAGAGACGGCGGCTAAGAATGATCGGGCTGCTAAGATACAAGAGAAGCTTAGATGTGAGGAATGCCCCTTTGTGCTGACCTTCCATACTAACATTGTCACAGCTACCTTGGAGGATATGCCCGTGCCCGGTGTCGATGGCGTTAACTATGAGAAGCTCGACCGAGGTGACGAGGAAGCTCAACGACAAGATCTTAAGACCTTTCTCGATCAATGCCAATCCGAATTTATGTACCTTATGATTACCCCCGCGAACCCGCAGCCACCTCGAGAATCTCCCCCGCTACCGATCATGGAGGATCTGCGAGAGGTCGAGGCGTTTGGCATGCCAGCCCCCCAGCAGCAGTTCCAGCTACCAACACGAAATGCTCAGAATCACTCCCAAGAAATGAACTCGAGGATATCTCAGCAGAATCATGCGCCTCATGGTCAAAACCAGCAGCAACACTTTGGCCAGAAGCAAGAACACCAGCCTCAGCCAATGGTGCGGTCCGAGCACCCACCTGTCATGTATCAAAACTCTAATGACTGGCCCGCGCCCGTGTCAGTAACATCCCGGCCGGTTGAAGATCATATGCCACAGGCAAACCATGCGGCGGAAGTTTTGGGCGGGATGGATGATTCTACTGAACTTAGGGAGAAACACTCCTCACAGCCCGAGAACGATGGATGGGAGTTCCCTGAGGGCACCTTCCCTGAGCCTGGAAACTCCCAGCCCAATTCTCAACCTAACCGCCCTGATACCGATGCTTTCCCTACTGCTGATAACCTCCCCAAGTCGCCGAGCCGACGAGATAGCTCCCACCGACGGAAAGGCTCCATGTCCAGAAGACGAAGTGCCGATCATGAGCTAGCCTTGGCTGCCCAAAAAGCTGAGAGTGGTAATTTCAAGCTCAGATTTGGACTCCGAGGTCACCTCGATACTGTTCGCACAATCATATTCTCTGGCGGCGGTAGCCCCGGCGAGCCAGAAATCTGTACTGGAGGAGACGATGGTATGATCAAGCGCTTCCACATTCCTCGATTAGATGGTCACCCTGGCGGTCTTGCGCATACGGCGTCAGACCTTGATGTTACAGCCAACTTTACACACCGTGGTCACTCAGGAGCAATTCTGTGTTTGACATCGTGGTCACCCTCGCCGAATTTCTCAACTGGAGGTCGCGCACAAGGCGACGGCTGGATATTCTCCGGCGGCCAAGATGCGACCATTCGAGTTTGGGAGCGTGGAAGAGTCGATCCCAAGGCGACTCTTGAAGGGCATACTGATGCAGTCTGGGCTATCTGTGTTCTGCCAGCAACTCTTGGTCAAATATTCGGAAGCTCAAGTCCTTACGGTAGCACGGATCGTATCTTGGTTGTTTCGGGTGCTGCAGACGGCAGTGTTCGTTTATGGTCAGTGAGCGCACCTCCTCAGCTGAGCTCGCCACAACCTGGAACAAACCGAGCCATGACCGGTCGCGGAGGTAGAGTCCGTGGTAACTCGATGAGCTCCGGTAGTGGATTCTCCAATACTCCTCAACCTACTATCGCCTCCAACTCGCCTTTCAACCATACCCTTGTACACAACATCTCGAGGTCTGACGGCTCCACCGCCAGTCCGACGTGCATCACACCTCTGGGTACCACTGGAGAGTCGTTCGTTGTCTCGTACTCAGATGCCGCGATTATCGTTTATGACACCCGAACCGGTGAACAAATCGGCAACATGGACAGCCTTGAAACATATGATCAGTCTAACAAGACCAGCGTTAATGCCGTTGTGGCGACGACAATCGGCCTCGATCAGGCTAACCAGAATCACAGCGGTAGCATAGGCGAAGAAGATGCCAGTTCAGGTGCTACTGGAGGTGGACGATCAATGGCTGGTTCAGGTGTTGAGGGAACCATCATCTCTGGCCACGAAGACCGCTTTATCCGGTTCTTCGATGCCAACAGCGGTAAGTTGCATGTATCACGAATACTTACCAAGACTAATTGTTTTCCAGGCCAATGTACATATAACATGA